TGGAAACAGGTCTGTTTTTCGGATAGAACACTTTTTCATAATATGTATTACGTATTTCTCTGCTGTGCATGACAAAATCAAAGTACCTTCTTGAATGGTTCATTTTCCTTCCATATCTATAACGAGGGCAATAAAAGACTGTTAAATATCACAACACACTGTATAGATTCGGTATATAGGATCAAATCACAAAAGCACGTTCCATCGGAGTCACTGGAATTCAAATTTGCTAAAGGGTATATGTATACCTACAACCTGCGGACCCATGCGCTTCTAGGTGCATTATAAGATATAGTCGAGTATAAAATAGTTCACTGAGATACTTTTTTTTCAAGATTTTTCTAGTCATTGAGAAGTAGGTACCTCATTATAGTCAATCCAATTGGAGGTGATTTGTTCATATTCAATCCTATAATATTAAAAAACGTTCAATATCCATGAATTATTTCTCGATTATTTCCTTCGAATTACAAAAAATGTCAATGGCATCCAAAGACTTACAAAGACTACCAAAGACTACCAAAGACTACCAAAGACTTCCGAAGACTTCCAAAGAATTCCAAAGACTTCCAAAGACTTCCAAAGACTACCAAAGACTTCCAAAGACTACCAAAGACTTCCAAAGACTACCAAAGACTTCCAGAGACTACCAAAGACTTCCAAAGAATTCCAAAGACTTCCAAAGACTTCTAATGGAGTGTACACCAGACTTCCAATGAGATTTACCCCTCGCTGATGAGGCGTCATTTGAATAAGCAAAATAGGGTACAAAAAAAACATCCTATCATAGATGAGAGAGAGAGAGAACACCAATTCCTACCTTATTTCCCTTGGTTCTCACGATGTTCTCTGAACATTACAGGCTCGATTACAGGATATCCCTTTTCGTGGGAACCAGAACATAAAAAATGTATAACATCAAAACAAAAATAAATATATTTGGTAACAACAGAAATAATATCACATTTTTCAGTATTGTCAGTATCGCATATTTGAAATATGAAAATGTAAACATACCGGAAGATTTTATGAAAAAACACACGAGTAAAGTGCTCCCCAGGGGGGCTAGAAAAAAATTTCAGGAAACTTTTCATCGTGTATTTTCATGAGATAAATCTATTTTTGGTAAAATTGATTTGACTTGCGAAAATACCCAGTCCGCAAGATTTTATAAAAAAACACACGAGTAAAGTGCTCCCCAGGGGGGCTAGGGAAAATTTTCAAAATCATTTTATCGTGTATTTTCATGAGGAAAATCGATTTTCAGTAAAATTGAATTGATTTGACTCACATCAAAAATACCCAGTCCGCATGATTTTATGAAAAAACACAAGATTAAAGTGCTCCCCAGGGAGGTCAGTGAAATAATCAGAAACTTTTTATCGTGTAGTTCAATAAACTGAATCCAGATATGCAATTAAAACAACGATTTATTTGCTGGAAATAGCCAGTCCGCAAATTATACACACCCCAATTTCTGTAATTTGAAAGTTGTTACTTCGACAAAACTGTTTCATACCAGAAAATTTAAAAATACCAAAAACTAAATGTTGCAATAGAACATTCAAATTTGAGAGGAATGTGTAAAATCGGGAAAGAAATAATTTCGCGTAGTGAATGTTTTTGAAATTCAAACGAGTAAGCGTACTTTAAATGATTGATTTGAAAAATTCTTACTTTTAACACGTTTTAACATCTAGTGAAAGTCACGTGACTCCGACCTAGCCAGCCATTTTAGATATATGTTACTTAAATCTCTTCATTTTCATATTTGAGACTTTTTCTGAAATAAATACCAAGTGATTCGAAAGTTTTCTTTTACATTTGTTTCTCACACCTACCTATTACACTTAAACTATAAGCTTGGGCATATTTTGAATGTGTATGACACTATATTTATCGTTTGAAGTAATTGTATGTACCTAATTTGGTGTTTTCAGCATTCATTCATAACCACAGGAGTAATTAAATATTTCGTGCATAGAAACATTTGTTCTTTTCCGAAAATGATCAATGAATAGATGAATTTGTTTGTGGAATAGAATCGGATCATAATTACAAAACTCGTCTCCAAATTGGTTCTGCCATCTTGAATTTACTAATTTTTACGGAAGAATCATAATCTCCGACCCCGAAAACTCCCAAATACAAATTCTGAATAGAATCGGATCATAATTACAAAACTCGTCCGCCATCTTGTATTTCCTAATTTTCATGAAAGAATCATAATCTCCGACCCCGCGAAAACCTTCAGATACATTTTTAATAGAATCGGATCATAATTACAAAACTAGTCCGCCATATATTGGTTCCGCCATCTTGTTTTTCCTGATTTTGACTGAAGAATCATAATCTTCGACCCCGAAAACCTTCAGGTATCAATTTTGAATAGAATCGGATCATAACTACAAAACTCGTCCACCATCTTGAATTTCCTAATTTTGACGAAAGAATCATAATCTTCGACCCCGAAAGCCCCCAGATACAAATTTTGAAGATAATCAAATCATAATTACGAAACTCGTCCGCCCTATATTGGTTCCGCCATCTTGTATTTCCTTATTTTGACCAAAGGATCATAATCTTCGACCCCAAAAACCTCCAGATACCAATTTTGAATAGAATCGGATCATAATATTGAAAAAACTTGTCCGCCATATTGGTTCCGCCATCTTTAACTCTCTAATTTTGTCCAAAGAATCATAATCTCCGACCTCGCAAACCCCCAGATACAAATATTGAATAGAATCGGATCATAACTACAAAACTCGTCCGCCATCTTGAATTTACTAATTTTGACAAAAGAATCATAATCTTCGACCCCGAAAGCCCCCAGATACAAATTTTGAAGATAATCAAATCATAATTACGAGACTCGTCCGCCATATATTGGTTCCGCCATCTTGTATTTCCTTATTTTGACCAAAGGATCATAATCTTCGGCCCCAAAAACCTCCAGATACCAATTTTGAATAGAATCGGATCATAATATTAAAAAAACTTGTCCGCCATATTGGTTCCGCCATCTTTAACTCTCTAATTTTGTCGAAAGAATCATAATCTCCGACCCCGCAAACCCCCAGATACAAAAAATATTGAATAGAATCGGATCATGATTACATGATCGTCCGTCATATCGGATCCGCCATCTTGAATTTTCTAATTTTCACGAATTTTAATACTTTTTAATATCCCATTCCGGACTAAGAGAAATCCGAAAATAATCAAATATATTGGACTTACTTTTATATAGATAATTAATGTACCTAGATAATTCGTAATTTTGAAATATAAATTAATTATTATTCGTATTTCATAAATAAATGTCAATATTTTCAAGTAGTCACGGCGTGAATCCAAACTCTCCTTGAAAATAATCATCGTCTCGGCTGGTCTCGGTCATCTCAGATATAATAAATTAGCACTACCAATATAGTAGGAGTCTTGGCAACGATGTAAATACCAGTGAATGGACGTAGTAAATATCGATTTTACTACAGCTTCAATATTCTATCCACGATAGACAGCGACATCTGTTGAAACACATTCACAACTCGAAAGACGTTGCCTCTCATGCCATATACAGTGTTTATCTATGGTCTGTATAATCTCTGCTTCCAGGAAAATTGACTGGTTAACTAATTGTTGACCCGGTTTGTTTGGTTAACTCCGAGGAAAAATGGCTTTTGTTGATGTTCTAGTTGATGGTGCTGATCTTTCTATCTATATATTTCATAAATATCAATTATTTATATTTTCAATTACTTAACATTTTCAAATTCTATATAATATTTTAATTCTTAGATTTTCAATTATTCAAACTATCTTTCAACGTCTAAATTTTTGAATTTTCAAATTTTCGAGTTTTAATTTTTTTGGATATTTGGGTATTATTTTTTTTCAAATTGAAAAAAATTTTGATTCTTAAAACTCCGAAAATATCTAGATCTTTCATACGGGATACTTAGAATTTCTATAATTGTTGATGAATTTTGTCACGTTTAATTTTCAAATTTGCAGTTTGATTAATTTTTCCCAAAATTCGCAGTTTCTATTTGAACCAGGGTTGGCAAGTATCATGATATTTATATATATATATCAAAATATCATAATATCGGATATATATCCGATATATATCAGAAATTTCGATTTTGTTCCTAGGCTGATATGCCAAAAAAACACAATATAAAATACCTTTATTTTAGTTAAAAAAAAAAATCAAACTTCAGCTGAATTTGAATATGTAATATATGATAATATAAAAAACTTGTCGTTCGATAAATTTTTGAGGATTGCAAAACCGAGAAAGAGGAATATAATCATCATTATCAATATTATCATCTTCGCTCAAGGCAACTAATTCATCATTCGACGAGATCCAGTCCAAGCTTTTGGCTTTTTCGTTGCCTAGACGATTTCTCAATTTAGATTGAACTATTCCAAAACTCGAAAAAATTCTTCCTTAACCAGCTGTTGCCGCTACTGCACTGAATAACTGCTCACATAGTTGTAAGAAGAGTTCTTTTTTTGGCCATTCGGAGTCAGGAATTGCAACCGATTTCCACCAAATCATTGTAAGCGTGAGGCCTGTTCGTTTGTATTGCTAAACTTGCTAAAGTTGATTCTTTTTCCATAGTTGTCTCTGTTCATGGCATGATGTAAACAAAGTAAGTCATAGAAAAAAATCGAGTTCAGCAGGTACAGCAAGGACAAACGAACACGCCTGATGTACCATGTACATAACAAGCAGTAAACAAAAACCGGGGATTCCCCGAGTTGTAAGTTATAACCACGAAACGCATTGTTGTCACGTATTCATTTTTAACGCAAAATATCAAGGACTTTTTGCTCCGGTATTTATTTTGTTAAAAAGAAGTAAATGATATATATCATGATATATATCAATCAATAAATATCAGATATATATCATGATACATATCATGATATATATCACTTGATATATATCGGCCAACCCTGATTTGAACCATTCTGTTTTCCAGCGAGCCGACCCCTTCGACCTCGACCTGCTCAACGACCCTCACCGCCCCCCTCCTCATCCCCACCACGCCCCTCACCCCCACCACCACCACCCGCCCACGCACCACCCCCACCACGCCCACCCGGCCGCCGCCGCCCTCCACCACGTGCCCCCTGCCGCCGCCGCCGCCTCTCTCTTCCTCGCCACCGCCGAGACGCTGGCAGCCGCCGCCGCTGCCTCCGCTGCCACGCCCATCGAGCTGCTGCACGCCGCTAGGCAGCGACACCATCACGGCCACGCCCCGTCGCCGCGCGGGAACGCCCACCACCATCACCATGCGCACGCCCATGCGCAGCATCATCATCGGTTGGGCGGGGCGACGGGGCAACAGGTGGTGCCGCCTCCGACGTCGGCGGCCTCGCGGAGATGGCATCACAGTCCGCCGCTCATCGCCGCGCCCACGGGATTTTTGCTGCATTTTTTGTGAGTAGCCCTTATGGGATAGGGTGGATTCGTTTGGTAATCAGTTTAAACGAATCAAAATTACACTACACTGTTTCACCACTAACCAAACCTTAATCTTCTCCTGAAGATGCTAACTTAGTTAGCGAAACACGTGTCGAGGCGGTTAAAAAGTTGGTTTGGTTAGTTGTAAAACAGTGTATTATCGTGCCAAAGGTTCCAGTCTTCGATGAATCAAAATTAATTTCTCGCAAGATTGTCTTGTCATCAGACTGATTGCAAGATTCATCTGTCAATTATGGCATAATTGCAAAATAATTATTGCATTTAGTTTAATTGACCGAATTACCTTGCAATTATGATTTTAAACGAAAAAGTTTAAAGAATAATCTTGCAATTATACTGATTGTAAGATCCACCTATCAATTTAAACTTAATTGCTGGATTGATTATTTTAATTGACAGAATAATCTCGCAATTGCGATTTTAAACAAAAATTATCTGACTGTTTGTCATAATTGCTAGATAAATCTGCCCATTAGGACTTAATTGCAAGATTTCTTACAATTGGTTTGATTTGCAGAACAATCTTGCAATGGGGAAGTTTTCTATATTGAGGTTTTTATCTCACTTTTCACTTTAGAAAAAAATAAATAAAAGAGGAACTTCGCTCCGCCACCATTCCTATGACTTACTTTCTGAAAATACACATTCACACAGAGTTAAAATACGAATCCCTGTGCCTGTACGACGTTGCCGTCTATGTCTAGATTCCCGGAAATTGTTTTTTGAATGCATAATAACTATATCATAACAGCAATGGGATATAATAGGTTCTTCAATTCTACTTTGGCAAGTATTATGAATAATTCCCATAAATCTCTCATTGGCTGAATGAAGTTGATTACTAATAAAAATAAATTATGATATTTTGCGATATTTTCTATAATTTTTCACTATATCTTCCTTAATAAAACGGATCTATTTTCTAGAAAAGTTACAGATTATACAGTGTGTCTCACGTCTAATGGAAACACCCCTGTATCTCACGTATTCGTAAGGATCCTGAAATTTGCTGGAGCGAGAGATATACCAAAAATGCACTCTATGACCTAGTACAGCATCTCTGATAACGTTCTCTAGGAATACTTTCAACACTCCTCTAGTTTCCTCGTAAATCAAACCAGAGATTCTCTTGACGCCACCGCGACGGGCATATACACTGCTCGCCAACAGCCATGGGACCAACCTGATTTCCGGAAAATGATATTAGGAGGCAAAATAGGTTGACACTTCACTTCACTTCGAATTCCGAATCATAACTCCCAATACACAACTATTCATATTCTTCTGAAAAATTTTCAGCTGTGACAATTTTATTTTTGTCTTTTCATGGAAACACCCCATCACCTTACGTAATCGTTGGGTTAGGATCCTGAAATTTGCTGGAGCGAGAGATATACCAAAAATATACTCTATGACCAAGTGGGGTCATCTTCACTAATATACACTGCTTGCCCGTGGAACTACACACATGTCCGGAAAATAATATCAGGAGACAAGATTTTGCTTCTTTATATCATTTTCCGGAAATTGGGGTGGTTCCTTGGCTGTTGGCGAGCAGTGTATATCACTGAAGATGACCCCACTTGGTCATAGAGTACATTTTTGATATATGTCTCTTTTCAGCAAATTTCAGGATCCCAATCCAACGATTACGTAAAATACGGGGGTGTTTCTATGAAAAGTGAGACAAAAATGAAATTTTCAGAACTCAAAATTTCCCAGGAAAAATTCGAATGATTAGTGTATTGGGCGTCTTGATTCCGAAACCAAAGTGATTTTCAATCTAGTTTGCCTCCTAATATCATTTTCCGGAAATTGGGGTGGTTCCATGACTGTTGGCGTGCAGTGTATATCACTGAAGATGACCCCACTCCGTCATAGAGTACATTTTTGGTATATCTTCCGTTCCAGCAAATTTCAGGATCCTTACCCAACGAATGCGGCCGTGGGCCCACCATGTACTCACGGCGTCGGGGTGGGGGTAGCCTCAGGTGACTCCAGACTCCACTGGTTAAAAGCTTGAGGTCCTCACTCTAGTCATGGTAGCGGTACGTGTGAAAGGCCGCGAACGGACACCCATCAAACGGGACCAGAGGATTCTGGTCGACATGGGTAGCTGGGCTTGCTCAGCGAAAACCGGAACTTTGGTGTACCTTGTGCCTCAGTTCGACAGGGAGAGGGCAGCCCCAAGCGATCCTATCGCCAGTCATCATAGGTAAAGCCGGGTCCTCTCCTGTAAACGAGGTAGAGGAACGTGTAAAAGTCCTCGAACGATCACTCATTCAACGGGACGAGAGGATTCTTGTCAACCAGTTCCTGGTCTCACCCGTTGCTACCCCGGCAACATTACAATTAATTAATTTAATTAATTACCCAACGAATATGTGAGATACAGGGATGTTTCCATTAGAAGTGAGAGACACTGTATCTTGCAACAGCGCCTAATACTTCGAGTCCGTCCACATTACTCAAAATACTGACAGGTACAACAAGAGGAAGGAGCCATCGGTGTCGGCTTCATTCTGTTCTGACCGATGGCAGTGAATTTGGAAGGATTGTATTATTGAATGTAGCCGATGTGATTCATTGATTCAATGATATTTTCGTTCAGGAACGAGCTCTATTCCAGATATTTCAATGCATAAATAACAAAATCATAACCTGCCAGAATGAAGCCAATTACCTTCTGCATTCCTGCTCTGAGTGCATTTGTGGTTTGTTTACCAATTTTACTTCTTCGCCTATTGTTTTCAATCGTTTTCGTTAGCTATTCGTTGGTTATTCGCTAGCTATATTCTTCACCATCAGCTATTTTCAGACTGCATTCAGAATTTACGTCACAATTTGCCGCCCCGAAAATCAGAAATTGCTTTAATTTGAAAATGAAAGCGACTTTATTGGTTGCCATTCTGTACAGCGTGGACATAAAACTGGGAGTTCTGAACTTAGTTTATGAAAATCCATCTGAAGGAAACTTCTCCATTATGATTCTAAATTAGACACCTACCAATTGAAACTTAATTGTGAGATTAATCAGTTTAATCGATAGAATAATCCCGCAATTACGACTTCAAACAAAAAATATTGAGGGATTAGTCAATCACTGCTTAATTGCGAGAAATACCGGAAAACAGTTGCTCGCAGCGACCTCTAGCATGAGTTTATTTTTTTCAAAGTGGTCTAGAAATCTATTTTTCTACTATGAAACGATATACAGGTACAAAAGTTATGACTTTTCAAAAGACTCGAAAGACATGTAGGTGGCGCCACTGCCACGAAAGAGACAAATTAACATAGAATTTGATATTGTCATTAAAAAATACCCCTATCACGACTATTTTGAAATTCATTAACAAAAAACCAAAATAAGAATTCATCTTTGACACTCTGTATCTCAGAAACGGATAACTTTTGGGCATATATTCATACGAACTTTTCTTCTTATTTTGACGTCAGCAACATGCTCCTGAATTTTCTACACGTACTTAAGAAACACCCTGTATACTAAAATAACAATAATTGAGACCAGATTTTGAACTATATGAATAAAGCCTTGAAAAAAATACCCTTGCAGCACCATGTTCTCCAACTCGCCAATGTCGCCGTTCAGCCAAGCCAGCAGCGACTCCAACGAGACCACCGAGAACTACGAGGCTCTGCTGAACCTGGCCGAGCAGCTGGGCGAGGTCATCCCTCGGGGGCTGTCGAAGCTCGAGATCGAGCAGCTGGTCAGCTACAAGTACGACGAGCGCACGCACGAGGGCGATCAGACGTCGTGTGTAGTGTGCATGTGCGATTTCGAGGCGAGACAGGCGATCAGGGTGTTGCCCTGTGCGCACGAGTTCCACGCCAAGTGCATCGACAAGTGGCTCAGGGTAAGTATCTGGTCAAGGTTTGGTTTGTTTTAGGTCCGTCTGCCTTGTTTCCCTGTCTGTTTTTCTTTTATTTGTATTGACTCTGTCGTTCCTGAAACATATGTTGTCATCAAAATGTTGCCCTGTGCCCACGAGTTCCACGCGAAGAGCATCGACAAATGGCTCAGGGTAAGTATCTGGTCAAGGTTTGGTTTGTTTTCGGTCCGTCTGCCTTGTTTCCCTGTCTGTTTTTCTTTTATTTGTATTGACTCTGTCGTTCCTGAAACATATGTTGTCATCAAAATGTTGCCCACGCGAAGAGCATCGACAAATGGCTCAGGGTAAGTATCTGGTCAAGGTTTGGTTTGTTTTCGGTCCGTCTGTCTTGTTTCCCTGTCTGTTTTCCTTTTATTTGTATTGACTCTGTCGTTCCTGAAACATATTGTTGACACAAGTTAGTTAACTAAAAGCATTGTTGTAATCAAAATGTTGCCCTGTGCCCACGAGTTCCACGCGAAGTGCATCGACAAATGGCTCAGGGTAAGTATCTGGTCAAGGTTTGGTTTGTTTTCGGTCCGTCTGCCTTGTTTCCCTGTCTGTTTTTTTTATTTGTATTGACTCGGTTCGTTCCTAAAACATATTGTTGACACAAGTTAGCATTGTTGTCATCAAAATGCTGCCTTGTGCCCACGAGTTCCACGCGAAGTGCATCGACAAGTGGCTCAGGGTAAGTATCTGGTCAAGGCTTGGTTTGTTTTCGATCCGTCTGCCTTGTTCCCCTGTCTGTTTTCCTTTTATTTGTATTGACAAGCATTGTTGTTATCAAAATGTTGCCCTGTGTCCACGATTTCCACGCGAAGTGCATCGACAAATGGCTCAGGGTAAGTATCTGGTCAAGGTTTGGTTTGTTTTCGGTCCGTCTGCCTTGTTTCCCTGTCTGTTTTTTTTATTCGTATGGACTTGGTCGTTCCTGAAACATATTGTTGACACAAGTTAGTTAACTAAAAGCATTGTTGTCGTCAAAATGTTACCCTGTACAACAGTGTCGGCGTGATGCACCTCGATAGCCATCTCCATGTTGTTCATCGAAATCAAAGCATTATCTTCCTTGTCTTCTTCCAACTCCGGTTGCTTGTATGCCTTATGAACGATATGACTGACTGCACGTTTGAACTGATACCACCATTTCTAGCCGGCGATTCGGATTACGTTTTAAAATTGACAGTGAGTTGGTGATCGCAACTTTTGGACATCTTCGCAAAGCTCCAATGATTAGAGATATTTTTTGTATCAGAACCTCTATATGCTTGTCCCATTTCAATTTTTCATCAATCCACATACCACGATTCTTTATTTGTGTAGTTCTTTTCAATACTTTATTTTTAATCTGGAGATTCAGACTAATATTCTGTTTATTTTTCTGATAGAATATTATATTCAGTTTTATTGGTATTAATTGATGAAATGTTCGAATAAAGCCATTTTTCAATTTTGTTCAAATCTTCGTTAATATTTTCTAGAATGATGGGGTTTGTGTTTTCGTATGAAAGCACAGTATCATCTGCATATATAGTATATTTACCTAACAAGCCAATTCCAGAAATTTTCTGAATATATAATAAATACAAGACGGGCCCTAAAACAGATCCCTGTGGAACACCATTACTTATTGTACCTATTGAAAGTTTATTAGACTATATTACATTTAGTGCTGATTGTCCTATTCCCAAGATAAGATTCTAAACGATTTTGAACAAGTCCCATCGATTTCAAGTATTCTAAGAGATTCTTATGGTCAACTGTAGCAATTCATTTACCATATTTTTTTATTTTTCAGTCCAATAGAACCTGCCCGATATGCAGGGGCAACGCATCAGACTTCTTCACGAATAATGAATAATCCCGCCACATCTCTGTATTCACCCTAAATAATAAAAAATCACCCCTTCCGTTCACGTAATGCTTCGCGAGGAATAGTACTTCGCGTGAGGTGCCATCAGTTGCCAGTAATAATAGAATAAAATGTCACTCATTCTCATTTTCTTTTAGTAACTATACTAATGATAGAATTTTGTTTTAAGGTGGTCACGAATTGAACATTTACAGGTTGTCTGAAGAGAAACGCCGTAAGATGTAACTGCGCCAATTTTTATCTGATTTATGAAAATTGGTAAATAAATTCAATTGTTTTTGACTACTATAATTATTCTCAAGATACCTATATTAGAAAAATTTACACTGGATGTTTCTTGATTGGGACAGCCTATACAGTGTGTCCCACTTACCATGCTCACCATGTGTATCTTTTTAACGGTGAGAGATACGAGGTCGGTTAAATGACACCAAATGTGGAGTTTGTCAAGGCCAACTATAATGTGAAAAAATACTTATATAAAATCTATTCCTTTTTGTTTTATACGCAAAAAACAGATTTTGATCATTTTCATGTCTCCTTCGTAACTTATTTATTAATGAAAATATTCAAATAGGAATTTCACATTCTCATGGTAGTTTAGCAAAGTGATTTCGAAAAAAATATGAAATTTATACCAACTATTCTAGAATTTGAGATATCAGCACCAACTTTAGTTTTTCAAATGTAGGTCATAGCTCACTATGACTTAGTTACAAATAACTGTTTTTCCTCTTTCAGATGATGTGTTGCAGTAATAGTTTTGTGTTGATAACAACGGAGTTATCGTCATTTATACAAAAACAAAAAATTATTTGGAAGCCGCCATCTTGAATTTATAAATTTTAACAAGAAAATCATGATCTCCGACCTCAAAAACCCCCACTCACCAATTTTGAATGGAATCGGACCAAATCTTGTCCGCCATCTTGGAGCAGCCATTTGTTTTTGATTTCAACAAAAAATCCATAACTCCGATTAACTTGAAATCTTGAATCTTGTCCTCCATCAATTGAAAAAAATGGCTGCTCCAAGATGGCGGACAAGATTTGGTCCGATTCCATTCAAAATTGGTAAGTGGGGGTTTTTGAGGTCGGAGATCAAGATTTTTTTTGTTAACATTTATAAATTCAAGATGGCGGCTTCCAAATAATTTTTGTTTTTGTATAAATGACGATAACTCCGTTATCAACACAAAACTATTACTGCGACACATCATCTGGAAGAGAAAAAAAAGTTATTTGTAACTAAGTCATAGTGAGCTATAACCTACATTTGAAAAACTAAAGTTAGTGCTGATATCTCAAATTCTAGAAGAGTTGGTATAAATTTCATATTTTATTCCAAAATCACTTTGAAAAACTGCCATGAGAATGTGAAATTCCTATTTGAATATTTTCATAAATAAAGAAGTTACGGAGGAGACTTGAAAAAATCTGTTTTTTGCGTATAAAACAAAAACGAATAGATTTTATCAAAATATTTTTTCACATTATAGTTGGCCTTGACAAACTCCACATTTGGTGTCATTTAACCGACCTCGTATCTCTCACTGTTAAAAAGATACCCATGGTGAGCATGGTAAGTGGGACACACTGTATATTGATAAACGTCTCTGTTACTACCAAATCGTAGGTAGAGCTAGGATTTTAATTATCGATCTATGAAAAAAAATATTTTTGCAGACGTAGGGTACGGCTTACCGTTATTTTTTAGTGTTTTTATAAGGAATATTGATTAATTATTATAATTTCTAAATTTATTAAATATAATCATTTTTTGTTTCAGTAGAGAAATTAATTATTGTGTCCCACTAAATAATCAAAGGTGTGATAAGTGCTATTAAAACTATTGTTTTAAAAGTGCATCCCAAATTTATTTATAAAAGAAATTAAACATTTCCTTGGTGTTCAATATACAGGATGTCCAGAAATTACATAGAAAGATTTCAACCGCATATTCTAGGAACACAAATAGTGAAAACAGTTTTTATAAACATGGGTTCAAAAATGTTCCCCTGGGGAGTTATAACCATCTGAAAGAGAGCCCGTAAATATTTCCGAAACCCTTTGGGTTGAGCAGCGTACACAAATAAACAAGTAGGTGCAAAGTTTGACAATCCTTTGATCTCTGAAAATGACCACCAATGACCTTCAACCACCTAATATGAATTTTAAGGTGACGCCTCCGCTATTATTCTGTAGATGTCGCTTCGTGAAAAGGTACTACAAGTGTATTAGATCAAGTGCTTCCTTGATTCAGTTCATGGGCGTGCCTAATTTTTTTTGGAATGGAGTTTGAATTCTCACACGAATTCAGAATAGATTTAAAATTGGCACAGCAGATGCTTTCTGAGTTCCCCAACAATCATTTCTGATTCAAAATGTAATGGACAATGAACATACTCTATAGTAAGAATTATAGAGCATGGGTAGTCGACCTTCATACTTACATCTGTGAGCCCATTCTTGGCACCTACAAAAACATAAAATAATATTCCTATTCTCACATCATAGTTAAAATATAAATCATTTGATAGTTTGAAAAAAAAACTTTCTAGATTGATCTCAAGGATTTAGAGATTGAAAAGTATTCATGCTGTACTTACCTTATTAGATCTTTATCCATTACACAGTTTCAATACAATTACCACAGCAATTAGCAAAAATCCAAACAACAATCACAAAATAAATCACAGTACCAATTAAACAATCCAATACTTCACAACCACAGAAACAATGGGGAAGACCACTGATTTTTTGAAACGACATTATCGTGAACTCTATACTGAAAAACTACCAATGAATTAATTTCGATTTTTTTCATTCATGCTAAGACGATGAAACAAATAAATTAGTATGTATCCATTTCAAAACACACAATTCCTGCGCCATTTGAAATTTCATCAATTCATTGGTGTGACTGGTGCGACGTCTTATTCCCAACACGCCTATCGTCCTTTAACTGACCAATCACACTGCAACACTGCAGAATGACGAGGTATCAGAGAGAGATAGCTACAGTTCGGGACTAATACGTCACGACTCCACTATCATATTTGGCTGTTTGAAATATCGAATGAAATATGTTGATTTCAAAACGATATAAATTCGATTCCCTTCAGCTTCAACTCATAATATTGATTGTACAGGGTGGCCAACTAAGACTCCAGAGTTCGATTTCTCTGTTGTCTTGAGAGATACAAAAAAAAGTCATGTATCAAAATTGAATTAATAATCCAGCTCCACATTCCAAAATTTCTTTGAAATAAACAGGGTGTTCCGTAAGGTCACAGCACATCAAAGCTATGTTTTTTTCATTGGAAACCCCTATATTTTATTTCATTTTTGAATTCTCCCTGAAAATCTGATTTCAACGACGTATCATACTTAGGGTCTAGCAGTGAAAGTTACTGACATATAGGGTGTGCAAAATCGAGATTTTTCAAGTTCAGGATTTTTTTCTGTCGAAACTGTTCATTATCCGTCAAAACGGTTTACATGTCCCTATCTCAACTTTTCACTCACTATCAATTGGTGTTCAATTGACATTGAATTGAAACAAATTATAAATTTAGATTTTTGACCACCTTGTATAAATTTCAATTGAAAACCAATTGATAGTGAGTGAAAAGTTGAGATAGGGACATGTAAAGCGTTTTGACGAATAATGAACAGTTAAGACAGGAAAAAATTCTGAACTTGGAAAATCTCGATTCTGCACACCCTATATGTCAGTAACTTTCACTGCTAGACCCTAAGTATGATGGGTCGTTGAAATCAGATCTTCAGGGAGAATTCAAAAATGAAATAAAATATAGGGTGTTCCGATGAAAAAAACATAGCTTTGATGTGCTGTGACCTTACGGAACACCCTGTGTATTTCAAAGGAATTTTGAAATATGGAGCTCAGTTATTACTTCAATTTTGATCCATGAATTTTTTTTGTATCTCTCAAGACAACAGAGAAATCGAACTCTGGAGTCTTAGTTGGCCACCCTGTACATGAAATGTGAATCATGATTCGTCGATTGAAAGAGGTTTGCACGGATTTCTTTCCTCAGTGGTCTTCCCCATTACATCTACACCACTGACTAAGCACGACGGAAAATAAACACATGATTCATAAAGCACAGAAAATAGCTGTCATAAATTGATTTCACATAGTTGACAGATTTACGCGGCCATTGGACTAAGACTAATTTGTCATGATCATACCACCAAATACATGTTGACATTGTCATGAGACCATATGTTATACTTAGTTTGAAATAAATCAATAATTTTATAGAATATTCAATAGTACTTAATACATCGTTAAACGTATCTTTTGCTAAAATGCCATAATCCAAGTACAAAAGCTACATATAAATAATCAGCTTGGCAACATCCAGACCTTTTCAACGTCCGAGCGTGCTGGCATCTATCTAAATTTTGTACATGTATATTACTTTTCATACCCGATTCGGAAATGTTGAGAATTTTCCGAAATTTTGATCAGGAAAGACGTGGAAAATAGGTGGGGCTATAGGGGCCTATCATCCCCCAACTTTTTTTCAATGCAATTTTCGGCAGGTTGACCAGGAAATATGAAAATATCATCATTTTTACCTGAAAATGATAGATTTGTTTAGTTCCGATAGCACTCACCATTTTCGACATAAATCGATTCTAAAAGTTTGCTGCGTAATAAAAATAGCACTTTTTCTTAATAGGGTACCTATATTTTCGAAATCATTCTTTTTTTCCTACGGCCACTATAGAAAGTAGGCAAGAACACACGAGATACAGCCTCAGTAAGTAGATTTTTACGCACAGTAAGCACACCGCACAGTTTTCGTTTATTCCGCCAGTCATGATCGCGTAATCGTCGTCAACAGCGGATGACATAACTGTCAAGAATTATAATTCACACTGTTTGTTCAAACTTTTTTGATATACTACATGGCAGTAGGTAAAGTATAGTACGCAATGCGTGTTGTAAAGCAATTACGCACTCATGGAATTTCCATTCGTGCGTAATATGCTTCTTACAACACATATTACGTAATATACTATTGTTCCTCTCATATTTTGAGTTAAACATCACAAGTAGATGATGAAAAAAGGGTATTTTCTAGCGAAAAATAATTTTTGGGAAAATTTGCCATTGAAACTGAACAATTAAGAGTATCATTTTTAAGTAAAAAATATGATATTTCCATAATTCCTGGTCAAACTGCCGAAAATTGCATAGAAACAAAGGGGGAACAAATACGCGTAGCCTCACCCATTTTAAAAGCCCCTGATCAAAATTCCGGAAAATGCTTAACCTTTCAAAATTGGGCATTAAAAGTAATACAGGGTGTTACATAATTCAATACAAATATTTTAATGACATATTCCTGGGGTCAAAATAGGACTTTTTTTTCCTATAAACATGTGTCCTAAAATCCACCCCCTCCAAGCTAAAGACATCGCAAGATGCGCAAAAAAAATCTTAAATTTTGAATTGTGGCTACAATTATGCATCAAATATTTTGAAAATTCACAGGCACTTGTATTTTTAGACGATCTATTCATATCTTGATTCAAAAATAAGGTAACTCGAATCGAAAGGGGTGAATGAGGGTTGCATACAGATTTGATGGCAAACATTTTCTATTTCCTCCAAAAAAATTTGAATTCAAACATCATCGTTGAATTGGCCACTAAAAAATCATACATTTCATTATCTTGCATTTTCTTTAATTAGCTAATCGTTTTAGAGAAAATCGCTAGTAAATGAAAGGGGTGTATTTTCAAATTATTATACTAATAAAAACTTAGTGAGCTATGATTATGTTTGTCTCTGGTAACTAATGATTGATTAATATCTTTTATGCCAAACTGACATTGTGGTATGTCATAACCGTCATGTCACAATCGATTCACTTTCCTCAACTTACCATTACACGCGATGTCTGTAGCTTGGAGGGGGTGGATTTTAGGACACATGTTTATAGGAACAAAAAATCTTATTTTGACCCCAGGAATATGTCATTAAAATATTTGTATTGAATTATGTAACACCCTGTATAAATGTACAAAATTTCGTTATCTCAACACAATGGACTTTGGAAATATTTACAAAAAATCATCATCTCCGACCCTCTTTCAGATGGCTCCAACTCCCTAGGAGAGCATTTCTGAGCTCATTTTCATATGAACTTTTTTTACTATTTCTGTTCCTAGAATCCGTGGTTGAAATCTCTCTGTGTAATTTCGGGTCACCCTGTATATATTTTTTTCACACATATCTACCATTCTTGGGAGGAAGTGTTAGCAGCATGTTTTTCACTCAGGTTTATTAGATTAAGTGTCGGTAGAATTAATTATAAATTTGATTGTCATGGTAGATGGGACTCGCTTTCAGCGAATCTGAAATAATATGGTCTGAATTAGAGGGTGTCATTTAAATTTCGGTCTTGTGTAGGTATATAAACTTGACACCCTGTACGTTCTGCCATCGACTGTGCTGCTTCAAATCACATTCTCACCTAGAGTTGAACTGAACTATTGCCCATTCATCCATACAGTGTTTGACAAGAAATAAGCCGAAGAAATGGGATATTCTTTATCCTTGATCTTCGCACTGCAGCTTTAATTTTTTTTATTTTCCGAATATTATTTTCTGAATGGTTTTGAGTTCTCCATGTCACAGTCTCATTCGGTCGGAATTTGCCACGTATAACTATACTGACGTCGAACTTTTTCAAGATGACAAAGCACATCTTGAAAGAACAAAAATTGCCTGGCTATAAACGATTTATTGATCTCCTAATAAATAGAAAGGTTGCGAGGGGTGAACCGCGATGGAATTCTGGTGTACAAACAACTGAAATTATTTGGGGTTTCTTGGAATTCCCTAGATTTCCTTGGATTTTCTTGGTACGGTATGGATAATATTTCCTTCATACAGTTAATAGAAGTTATACTTTTTCAACTTCAATTTCGGAATCGGTGAGTTATATTTCGAAAGAAGTAATCTCGATTTCAAAATTGGTCAGTTAGATTTCAGAAATGGTTAACTCAATTTCAGAATCGGTAAGATGAATTCCATAGTCCATTCATTTTCAGAAATGGTAAGTTGTATTTCAGAATTAGTAGGTAAAATTTCAGAAAAGAAAACCTTATATTTGTTCGAAATGTTTTCAATTGCTTGTGAAATTAATAAACTATATTTACAATATTTAACTTTTCGAAAACAATTCAATAACATAATTATTATAATCTCAATTTAATCCAGATATGTCTTCTATCCGAATCGCAGATGGATAGTGGCGTTGCACATGATTATAAGAATGCAAACACATTTGAGGTGTTATCATTCTCATTGAATGATCTGCACATTCTTCAAGACATCGCAGTCTGAATTCTATCTGGTTGAGCAATCTGTTTGGATCCCCAGCTATGACCCTTTGGCGATGCTCTTGCAAAAAGCTCTTCATTTCTGACTTGAAGGCACTCCATATATGTTCAATCTGGTTCAACATACGACTGCAAAATATAACATTCTGAAATTCTTCTTCCATGCATATCTCTTCTATTCTTGAATGTGCAGGTGCATTATCCAGAACTACCACTATGGTATCTGCAGGATGTCCATTTCAAACGCACGCTCTCAAACACCGTTTCATCCATTGTAAACAATCTTCTCTCTTGCAATTAAAAACATTTCAAACGATTATAAGGATTTTTTTCTGAAATTGAACCTACCAATTCTGAAATACAACTTACCATTTCTGAAATTGAATGGACTTTTTCTGAAATTCATCTCACCGATTCTGAAATTGAGCTTAGGTACCATTTCTGAAATCGAGATTACTTTTTCCGGAATATAACTTACCGATTCCGAAATTGAAGTTGAATAGGTATAGTTTCATTAATTCACGTGAAGCGTGGCAACATCGCTTTTTATATTGCTTCTCATAGTTAGACAGCGCCGAGCGCAGTTGCCGAGTTACCTACGGATATTTTCCGATTGTTTGTTCACATAGTACGAGGTTAGGTCCCGCGGACAATAAGTACTCATAAAAATCATTGATACACATTATGAAATTCATTCAAGGGATAAAAATGTGCTCCGTTCAATTGTCGGCTAGTGATTACTACTTGAGATATTTTGAATCATAACACTCGCGTCCAAACAGCCCAATTATAATTTGCTGAGTTTTGATGAGATTGGCAATATAAACAATATTAACTAATGACGTCATCAAGATCGGTGGGATATATCAAATATTTTCAGGTGTTTTCTTTGTCAAACATTTTATGTCATGGTTGGAGAGTACAGATATGGATTATTGACTTTTTTATTTACAAAATTAGTGTCTTTTAATAGGGCCAAACATTGTACCGGTTTTCTGTGCTGGCCATTATTTGATGTATGAGTAGAAATCATGAAAAAACGTGTGAATTTGGATATAATTTGTACAACAATGAGTTGACGTAACATACTTGTATTTTTTCAAGTCAATTTTGGGTTGGGAGAAGTATAAAATGAAAGAACATCCGAAATGAATGCAATATATTCAGCATTACTAAAACTAGAAAGCTCTGGGATTTATATTTTGAAACAGCCGAACCTGATCGTTTGATGTCGGCGAAGTCAGAAGTACCGAGAGTATCAATGAGGTTTGCAATGTTGCAGGAAATAATGCATTATAATGACAGCGTTTTTTATTTCATTTTCATACACATTTTTCTCGGTATCATTTACACCTAGTGAACGAAAAAATTCAAAGTAGGTTACAACTGTTTGATTCTAATTTTTGCTCTTTCAAAACGTTCATAGATTATAAAACGTTGAAAGGCATATCGAAAATTTGATTACACAAGGTGTTGTCCTAATGACACAACAATTTATAGAATGTTTGTTGATCCAAAGAAAAATTTGATTGTAGAAAAATATCTCTGATGGGTATTCATTATTGTTGAGGTCAACAGTTGACATTATTTTGGATATTACGCTAGAAGTTGTATTCGTTATTTGTTGTACAAATTATTTCTACCAAAATCAAATGTCCGTCCTGTCAGACTAGGGTTTTTGCAATATTCTGTTTTTGTTGTTATCTGTTGGGTTGAAATAATTGTCGTTGTTTGAAGTGCAAATATTTTGTGTTCTGTAAGAATTAGGAAAATTTTTGGAAAGCTTGTTTGTACTACAATTATCAGGAATGCACATCTTTTTGCTGTTGAAGCAAAGTTTCTGTGTCGGTTGTTCGGTTGTTGCCTATATTATAATAACCACGCCTTTGCCCCTATTACCTTTTTCTAGCTCTAAAGAAGTTTAAGAAAAAATAAGTTGTCGTCAGTATGTATCTACCTCGAATCTGTATGAAAAAAAATTTTCACACCACTATACAAGGTGATTTATATATGAATGCCAAAAATTGTTGTTGTGAGTCAGATCACCCTGTAAAATTTCATTCGTTACCTAACAAGATTTCGATTCCATAGTCGTTTCGATTCGAAATTTCAGAAATATGTTATAACTTGTTTATCTTTTTGGTGTGAAAATTTAATCATAAATATACAGGGGGTGTTCTCCTAGGTGAGGCGATTTTTTAGAGAGTACTTCTTCCTCTTTAAAAAATGCCTCACTTTCCAAAGCATTTCGGGGTTTTTCTTCTCCTTTTGATATACAGGGTATGTCATGACGAGATTACACTATCTTTATATCGAGAAGCAGTCGAAAGAAATCCATGAAAATGTGCATGCTGTTATTTTAGAATACGCTCTCTTCATTTAAAATATATTCGACAATGCAGTGTTGCCGCTTCTACTAGAAAGTAGTAGCAATATTGATATTTCAAATGAAACACCCTGTATTTTATCACATTTTCATATTCTCCCTGAAGAGCTGATTTTATCGATACATCAAATATTCATTATCGGTCAAAACGGCTCACATGTCCCTATCTCAACTTTTGATTCACTATATATACTGATATTTAATCGGAACAGATACAGGGTGATTCAAAATTCAGAATTCTGATCACCCTGTATCTGTTCCGATTAAAATAAATATCAGTGAATAGTGAATCAAAATGTGAGATAGGGACATGTATTTTTATCATTATTATTATTCTTAAAGTTGAATAATCTCGATTTTGAACACCCTATATCACTGTAATCATTCCCGATAGACCCCAAGTGTGATACATCGATGAATTCAGCTCTTCAAGGATAATCTAAAAATCCAATGAAATACAGGGCACTCTATTTTGAAATAACAAAGTTGTTGCTACTTTTTGATAGAAGCGGCAACACTGCATTGCTGAAATTATTTTAAATGGAGAGAGCGTATTGTAAAATATGACCATGCATATTTTCATGTATTTCTCGCGACTGATTCTCGATATAAAGATAGTGTAAGCTCGTCGTGACTTAGCCTGTATAATTCTGATGGTTTGATGATCTTTGGCAGTTGTATAAATTCCATTAAAATTCTGGTATCATGTGATTGTGAACGTTGTTGTTTCTCCAGGTTTGTATAGATTAGGAAAATTTGATGAACCAGCACACAAAACTTGCAATTTTAGAGTTCAAATCAAAAGGTTATGAAACCTATATATATTCGACCATGCCTTTTTAATAAAACTAATTGTCTTAGTGAGATTATTCGAATCAGTTCATGGTGTTAACGTCCTATGAGTAATTAATTTCATGTTTTCGAGGATGGCTTGATGCTTCGTAGTTTCAATGTATGGTTTTGATATACTGACGTGTATAAAAAAATCGTTCATATCTTATATGATTCTCTACTAATTTTTAATTTCACGGTTGATTTACCTTAAAATGTACATATCTGTATTGTTGAATGGCCAATAAAAAATGAAATACACTTGAAGACGATTTTTTGTTCGACGATAATCTACCATACGTATTTGCAGTTATGTCTGAGATTTAATTTTTTTCTCCAAGTGTAGGTCTAGGTCAAGTGCTGCGTTTTGGTTCATCGCCTCTGGGCGCCATATTTTGGAAGTTTTTTTTTCAAATGGATTAGAAGTCGAGTGATACTGATTTGAAATGTCTTTCTAGTCTCTATACGATACCATGAATCACCAGAATTTCAGACAAAATCATTCATCCCAAACAAAACGACGTATGATGATTTCGAGATTTCTAAATACCTACCTATTTTTATAGACAAGCAGATCATTTTTCTGTCAAGAAAATTAAATCAGATATTGGTAAAAAATCCATCTATCACAATGGAATGATACAATACAATTCACTACCAAATAACTTGAAGCTGATTAATAGGATTGAAAAATTCAAAAGAGAATTCAAGAAACATCTTCTCCTGTAATATTGACATCTTATCTCATTTTTATAGTTTTTTTGTTATACGACGCTATACATAGTGGAGTATACTACGGCCTTGCCAAAAATGCTATCTCGGAAACTAAGCGAGATAGAGGTATAGTTACTTTGGAGAAAATGATCCCCATCGAATTTTGAGCAACTTTGGTTTTTGTGTGTGGTCTGTCTGTCTGTCTGTCTGTCTGTCTGTACTCTGTGTTAATCATAAATCGATGTATCTCCGGAACCCTTTGACATATCGACTTGAAATTTTGCCATCTTATTGTACTCAAAACAATATTATGTCATTAAAATATGAAGGAAATCGGAAAACTCTAAGGTGGTTTTTCCGGGTTTTTTCGATTTTTCACCGGAAGTTTCTTGTAACCACTCTACAAATCGCAAAAGTGTGGTCCGATCGATTTCATTTTTCGTAAAAAAAAACTATCAGGGAGAGACGAAGCCTATTGAAATTGAGCAGGGTTGGAAAATTCCAAGTGGGTTTTTTAAGGAGATTTTCCGAAACACACGGTTTGCTTTAAAACGATATATCTCCTGAACAAATAGACTAAATCCAAATTTGAAAAATGCACCGTATGCCTCTTTGATGACGCAACAAATTATTATTTAACCATTTTTTCGTGCATCCATCGGAAAATGGAAAAACAAATGAAAATCCAAACATCAAAATTTGAAATCCTTTCAATTCAATATATATCGAAAACAAATGGAAAAATCGAAAATTATCAAGAGTGCAAAGTTATCCACTGGGACATTTCCTACAAATTATTTTCCATAATTTTTTCTGTAAATCCAATAGTACAGGAAATAAAGTGAAAAATATGAAAAAAAAATTTTAACGGCTCATAGGGTACTATGAAGATATATTGAAAAACATTGATTATCGATAGATGAAGCTCATCGACTTCCACTGAACCATGAAATATTTTGTCATTTTGTTGATTGGAAGATGGAACAAAAGTGTTGAAAATTTTATTCTCAGATAATTCCAAATATCTCGAAAACAACTGAAAATATCTGAAAATGTTATAGAATCAAAATTATTCCTTTTGATAAAATCTACAAAAAATCCCTATAACATTTTTCTCTGAATTCAATAGTTCGGGAGATACGATGAAAAAACTAAAAAATTTACAAGTTCCTAGATAATCACTTGCCAATAGAAAACGAAACAAAAGAAAGTAAGAAAAGCACACTCGACTGTCTTGATTTTTTTTCCCATAAACTACGTACCTAGCTCACTCTACTGTCTTTATTTTGGCCAATAAATTAGGTACGGGCTAAGTACGTAGTTTGTGGGGAAAATCTCCAGTTCTCTGAACTTTCATAGCGTCGTATACACATCATTGGTGCCCAATGATAGTTTCAATATAAAAATATGCTCATGATATGGTGCCATGGCCTCACCATCTTACATGAGCAATGAAAAAATATCATCTGCTTTTATAACGTCGTATGAATTATCTGACTTTTATACTAATCTGATACCTTTCAAAAACTACGTACCTCACTTGTACAACTACTATAGTTTTCAATTGTGTACCTAACAGCTGAGTCAATTAAGGATCATTTTCATCTGAACTTGAAAAAAAAAGATTCTTTCTGAGTGTGAGTCTTATTTTACTGTCTTCTTTATGTTATTTTGTCAAATATATTTATGTATTCACTATGTTCCCTGCTATAAGTTGTTTCTTGGGAATAATAAAGTTATTGATTGATTGATTGATTGAAATTCATGGTGGATCACCCTGTACATGTAGCTGTAGGTACTTTTTCAACCTTTTCCACGGGATGTTACGGAAGATAACGTAATTGTGGGAGTTGCGCGATTACCATCGTGTTCAAAAGTATACAGTGCGTCCATTAAATTCAGTGCTCTCTTAAAATATATTCTGGAATTCTGCTTCTCATGGAGATTCCAAAAATTGAATAATATACAGGGTGTTCTGTTTGAAAAATATATCGCGGACGTCAAAACTCAAACGTGGGTCACTCTGTCCATTCAATTTCCATTTATAAATGTGGAAGATTGTAATTCAAATTCGACCTCAGGAGATTCCTCAAATTAATTGTTTTGAATTTAACACACTGTAGAAGTCCATGTTGTCTCAAAGTGAAGTGAAGTAGTTCATATAGTAATTATACTTCACAGTCGTCTCCACAACATGTAATATCATCAAATCATAAATGGAAAGGGGACATGTTTCGGGTCTATAGAGTATCCATCATCAGCCGATTAAAAAAATATTATTCTGCTTTGTACTTTGTGTTATATACTGTTTGTTTGATACTTGGTATATGTTGGGGATGACTGAAGGAAGTTGTCAAATATATTACATATCAAGAAGTGTCACGAATTTAGTTATAGAAGCTCCATTTCACCATATTACATATTGGCGACGAGGATAATGGCTCATAATGTTTTCAATTTTGATAAATTCGATCCAGACAAAGAAGATTTCGAATATTACATTCAGAGATTTGAGATAGAGCTACACATACATAAGCTATTAAGCGATGAGACTGCTGAGACCAGAAAAAACTTACTACTATCAAAAATTGGACCTGCTTCATTCAAAATGTTAGTAGATACATTTCGTCCAACTAACGTTAGTACCATTAGCTATATACAGTTGAAAGATGCTCTCAAAAAGTACTACGGGAAACAAATCTGTTTAATGGCAGAAAGAAGAGGATTTGCATGTCGATTCCGAGAAAAGGAAGAAAATGTTTTACATTTCGTCAATTCTTTGCGTTTTCTGTCGGGGAATTGTGAATTCGGACCATCTTTGAACGAAAGAATTAGAGATCAATTAGTCATTGGTATAAATGATAAAGATTGGCAGAAAGAACTATTCCGAAAATTCCCAACAAATAATTTTTCCTTAGAAGACGCTATACAGTATGTGGTTAGCTTGGAGCAAGCTTCAATTCAAACAAAAAGGCTGGAAAATATGGAGATTGATAATTTCATAGATAGTCACGCATCGAACAAAATACAAAAATTGAATACACCAAAAAGAACATTTAACGATCCTACGAAACTCATCATTGGCATACACTGTTTCAAATGTGGAAATAATATACATAACAGAAATGAAACTTGTCCAGCAATGGGAATGATATGTAACGCGTGTAATGGCAGAAATCATTGGGCCAAAGTTTGCCTGTCTAAGAAAAAAGCCATAATAGTGAAAGATGGTAATAAACCAAAGAAGACGTACAAAATTTCTGAAATGGAATCAGAATATCAAGAAGAAGGAAGTGATGATTCAAACGCAGAAAACAGCGCTATCAAGAAGATTTGTAGCATTCAAAATTTCTCCAATGTCATGGTGACATCGAAACTAAATGGATTCGAAATCGAAATGTTACTCGATTCAGGTGCAGCAAAATCAGTTATCAGTAAATACACTTGGAAAAATATTGGCGAACCCCAACTTTATCCTTCGTCTAATTTGACGGGTTACACAAATTTAGTGATTCCTACCATGGGCAAGACAAAAGTAACAGTCGAAGCATTCAACAAAACATTAGTTTTACCATTATATGTTGTTGAAGGACATGATACTCCACTATTTGGATTAGACTGGATGTTGGCTTTTGATTTGAAATTCCCTGAGGGTTCAAGACTGTGTACTATTGGAAGTTCAAGGAGAGATATTCTCGACAGTAATACAGACATTAAAAAAGTATTAGACGATTTCAAAGAGTTATTCGATGGAAATCTAGGTGCCATCAGGGGACATCAGGCAAAAATACATTTACATCAAAATGCAATACCTAAAAATTTTAGACCTCGTCCGGTTCCTCTCGCACTACGTGAACATGTTGAAGCAGAACTAGATAGATTAGTCTCAGATGGAATCTTAGAGCCTATTGATCCTAGTACAACTCCGATCGAATGGGCATCTCCAATTGTGACAGCCATCAAGTCAAATGGAGCTGTAAGAGTTTGTGGTGATTTTAGAGTTACTATAAATCCTTTCATAGCAAAAGACAATTATCCCTTACCGCTATTTGAAGAAATCATCGCAAAACTGAACGGTGGAAAGCAATTTTCAGTAATTGACCTCAAAGATGCATATTTACAAATGGAAGTGCATCCAGATTCTAATAAATACCTTATCATTGTTACTCATAAAGGTTACTTTATGTACAAACGCCTTCCTTTCGGAGTGAATTTTGCTCCTCCCCTTTTCCAGAAAACTATGGATCAGATTCTTACAGGCATAGAAGGTGTTGCTTGTTATCTCGATGACATTATAATTACAGCTCCAGATCAACGAACACATATACAGAGAGTCAGATTAGTTTTGGAGCGTCTACAGAAAGCTGGAGTTAAAACTCATACTTCTAAGTGCAAATGGTTACAAGACTCAGTTACATATTTAGGTCATCAAATAGATAAAGATGGAATTCATCCAACAAAAATTCGCACTGAAGCAATTGAAAATATGCCTTGTCCGAAAAATATACAGGAACTACGTTCATTTCTAGGCTCCATTAACTATTATGCAAAAT